AATGATCTTGTGTGTCAGAGACCCCAATCCCCCAAATGGAGCCCCAAGGCACTAAGTACTCAGCCAGAATCCTACACACAGCCTCTGGCCACACCCCAGTGGTTGGCTGCCCCTGTTAAAACCACTTCTAGCTCCAGGCTCAGAGCACCTTGCTAAAGCCAGGGGTTGGGGTCCAAAGCCATCCCTGTTGAAGCTCATAGCAGGAGAAAGAAGACAGCACGAACCAATAAACCAAAGCAGCAGCCAAACACAACTAAGAGCAGTAGCACAGAGGGAGCACACGGGCCTACCCGGCTTTTGTGTGGTTCAGAGATCGGCTTTGCTCTTTCCTCTGCTGCCACCCAGCACCCCCAAAGAGAGGCTGACCAGCAGCCAATCAGTTCCCTTCGACCTCAGCTCAACATTTGGGTGCGGGGAGGCAAGTAGCCCTTTGAGAATCTGCTTAAACGTGGGAAAAGCCGCCTTCTCAGGAAAATGCACGTGCCCAAGTTTGTGAAAACACCTGTAGGGGTACTCCAGGGATGCTAGGTAAAGAACTCCCTTTCAGAATCTAAATTTTAGATGAGGAGTGGTGCTGTTTGTACTCTATGGCCATCGAATCCTTGATTTCCTGAGGCCCAGGCGTGAAGAGCAAAACCTCCCAACTGAAGGCACCTGGAACCAGGATGTGGTCAGAGGGTGACAAAGCTTCCTGGGCTGGGACCAAAACAGAAATCCAAGAACAGACCCCTGATTCTATAAAAGCGTATTTGATGTACTGGGGGCACTTCAAATCCATGGAAGAAAGGGCAGACGACTTTAGAAAGAGTGTCGGGATGAGTGCTTGCTAGTTCAGCTTTTCCTCCTTAACGAACCACCCCAAATTTTAGTGGCTTAATGCAATCAATTATTTGCTCGTGATTCTGTGGGTGGGCAATTTGGGCTTTGCTCAAATAGGACGGTGACTTTGCTGGCTTCACCTGAGTTCCCCTGACCCTCTTAGTAATTGACACATTCCTCAAGCATGCAGCAGGTTAATGCATGTTCAACAAGCATGCAGCAGGTTGTCTCAGGCGCCTTCAAGCGACAGTTACTCTCCAAAGAGAGATCAAGCAGCCAGGGAGATCAAGTCCCATTGCACAAACACTTCTGTGCATCACATTTGTACCATTGCCTAAAGCAAGTCACGTGGCCAATCCCAGATCCAGGAGTGAAAAGATGGACCCCATCTCTTCATGAGAGAGGAGGTAAAAAGGCACGTGAGAGGGTCTCGAGCAATTTGTGGTCACGTATTGTTTGCAATCTATACCATACTTAGCCTTTTGAGGAAAGAATTAACTTAGAAACTTGCCTCAAATAGGACATTCACCAAAATGTACTCCCAATTGGAGTAAAATTTAAATATAAAAAATGAAACGGTGACGGTATTTGAGGACAGTATTGGTGAATATTTCTATGTCCTTGCAGGAGAAAAAACCCTTATGGTGAAAAAGTAAAAGTCAGAAACCATAAAGATAAAGTTATTTTGGCATGCGTTCTTTTTTTTTCAATTTTTTTTTTTTTATTTTTGGCTGCATTGCGTCTTCGTTGCTGTGTGCAGGCTTTTACTAGTTGCAGTGAGCCGGGGCTGCTCTTCGTTGTGGTGCGCGGGCTTCTCATTGCGGTGGCTTCTCTCCGCTGTGGAACAGTAGCTCTAGGCGCGTGGGCCTCAGCAGTTGTGGCACACGGGCCCTGTAGCTGTGGCTCGTGGGCTCCAGAGCGCAGGCTCAGCAGTTGTGGCACACCGGCTTAGTTGCTCCGTGGCATGTGGGATCTTCCCGGACCAGGGCTCGAACTCTTGTCCCCTGCATTGGCAGGTGGATTCTTAACCACTGTGCCACCAGGGAAGTCCCAGGTGTGCCTTCTTAACAATTAAAATGATTCTTTTAAAACATCATGAACAAAATTAAAAGCCAAAATATAAATTGGAAAATTATTTGCAACACAAGTTTCAGAAAGAAAGATTTAATACCCTTTATATTTTGAGAGTTTATATCAGAAAGAAACGGCAAATGACATGATCAAATCTTGATAGAGGACACGGAAAATAATCACCAGCATTTTGTATGTTTTCTAAATGAATAAACAGCCAACAACACATGAAAATATGCTCAACCCACTCTTAATTAAAGAAATACAAATTAAAACAACAAGGTGCCATTTTCACTTACTGAGTTGGCAAAGAGTTTTGTTTTGTTATTATTTTTTGTTAATAGGCAGTGCCCAGTATTATCAGTAAGTGATAGTGAGTAAAGAGGAGCTCCTGAACTAGGTCCCTCTGAGGATAGAGATCTCCTTGGTCCAACTCACAGATTCATTCCTTCAACCAATGTTATTGAGCACCTACCATGTGCTGGGCACAGCCTAGACTCTAGAGCCTCCACCCAGAAGGTGACATTTGTGCAAAGATCTGAAAGTGAGAAGTGAGCCGTGTGGCTATCTGTGGAAAAGGTCTCCCAGGCAGAGGAAACAGCGACATGAGCCCTGAAGATCCAACACATCCAGGGATCAGCCAGGGCCCAAGGGGCTCACGTGGAGCAGCTGAGGGAGAAGGTTAGGAGGACGTCAGAGGAGGTGGGGCATGGTGGGGCCTCTGCACGTCTTGAGGGCCCTCACGAGCACCACATTGGCTTTTATTCTGAGTGCTGTGGGAGCAGAAGGGGAACAGGTTGACTTGGGTGTTAGCAGATCCCTCTGGCTAGTGCGTTGAGAATAGACTGGGGTGCCAGAGTAAAGCTTCTGCAACAACCCAGGTGAGAAGGGATGGTGGCCCCTGAGTAACTGGTGAGATGCAAATAAGTGATCAGTTCTGTATGTGTATTGGAGCTCACCTGGTAGGATTTCCTGATAAACTGGATGTGGGGTGGAGGGAAAGAGAAGATGACTCCAAGGTTCTGGCCTGAACGACTAAAAGGATGGAGCTGCCCTCCATGGAGATGAGAAAGCTCGGAGGAGCAGGTCTGGGGAGAGTATTGGAGCTCAGTCCTTGTCACGGATGTTGGAGTGGCGATGTTGAGTGGCAGGTGGACCCATGAGCCTGAGGTCACCTTAGCTGTGGTAACTTGATCTTGGAATTCCCAGCCTCCAGGATTAGGAGAAATAAATTCCTGTTGTTTCTAAGCTCTTTGATATCCAATTTTTTGTCTTCTTGATTTGACAAGGACTAAAAATGATGGAGTGACGCTTCCCCTCCTATTATTTTTTTTATTTCTTTTCATTGTTTTGCCTTCAGTTTTGGAATATATATATACGTATATGTATATATATACAAATTGATGAATATTGTATCCATATTACATATAGTAAATGTTAATCATTAAGAAATTAATTATTTATGGACTTCCCTGGTGGCACAGTGGTTAAGAATCCGCCTGTTAATGCAGGGGACATGGGTTTGAGCCCTGGTCTGGGAAGATCCCACATGCCACGGAGCAAATAAGCCGGTGCACCACAACTACTGAGCCTGCGCTCTAGAGCCTGCGAGCCACAACTACTGAGCCCACGTGCCACAACTACTGAAGCCCGTGCTCTGCAACAAGAGAAGCCACTGCAATGAGAAGCCTGTGCACCTCAAAGAGTAGCCCCCACTCACCACAACTAGAGAAAGCCTGTGTGCAGCAATGAAGACCCAACACAGCCAAAAATAAATAAATTTTAAAAATAATAAATTTATTTTTAAAAAAGAAATTAATTATTTGGAATTATATTTTGACCCTTTTATTTAACAAATATTTCTAGAGCACCACCATATTTTGGGGCATTGTCCTAGGCCTTTTGTCTCATCAGCAAAGTGCCACAGCATTGACTCTGCACTGCACTCTCCCATTTTTTTCATCGTGATAGTGTCACTGATGGCATACTTTCTCCATATTCTGTACCTTATGCCAGTTTTGCTATTTACGAAGCTATTTGTGATCAACTCTGAGGTATCTGCTTCTATGCCCTATGTCTAACTTTATGTGAGGGTATGTAATGCTTGCCATGTAACCTTCCTATAAATCGCAAAATATGTATTTTTAAAACTTTTTATGATAAAGCAGTAATTCTAATTCATGGTAGAAATTTTGGGAAATATGGAAAAACATGTAAGATAAAAAAAATTTTTTAAAGCCTATGATCCCTGCAGCCCAAAATAGTATTTCCTCCTGGTATTTTTTTCTATATATACTTTCCTGCATTTTCCAACTTTTGCATAATGAACATGCTGTCGCATTTGAAACCAGAAAACAAACATTTGCAGTTACAGTAGGGTTCTGTCATGCTCTTTGCAGGCTTGGCCAGAGAGAGGAAATGAGAAGATAAACAGCAGGATAGGTCTCCCCATTGTCACTGCTGCAGTGGCTCTGAGACGGAGACTTGATTGTTCTCAGGGGCTGCAGTACTTGGTGGGTCTGCTCCGCTGCACGTTTTCACCCTGCATTCCAGGCTGCCTGAGCTCTTGGCAGATTAAAAACAAACATAGCTGACATCTGGATGGTTTTGAAGTGTCTGCTGAGAAATGCCAAATGTGACGTTCACTCATAATAATTCCTTAATGTTTTCTAATACCTAGTTCCTCGTTCCATTTTCCCCCGAATCTCAAAAATATCTTTTTACAATTTGTTAGAAACAGTATCCAAAGAACAACAGCGTCCTCTAATGTCTGTAACATTTTACACTGTCTTTCCTTCCCAGGGCCTGTACGGTCGGGCGCGGGGAGCCCTCTGTCCTGCGCACACCAGACCCCAGAATCTAAGCGCCGGCCAGCGCCCCTAACCTCGGAAGCAAGCTTCAGCCTCCATCAAGAGCACCGCAGAAGGGAGCAAGCGTCGGTGGTTACCATGGAATTCCAGTGTGCGGCTCTGATTAGCTGAGACACCTCCCGCTCGCCCACTCCGCTCCGCGCAGGGGGAGGGATACCCAGGGGCAGAGATTTCTCGGGGACTTCTGGGAAAAAGTCCTTGAGAACGAAAGCGGAAGCGGCGCGGCCCGAGGCCTTCTGGGAGTCGCAGTTCGTCATCGTCAGGCGCTTTCGGACCCGCAGGCGGAGCCGCTTGGTTTCACGTGAGGTCCGTGCGGACTGCGGCCCTGCTGCCCCACCTCGTCTCCGGCCGGGAGCAGCGGGCGCTCGGCGCTGGGGCCTGGCGGGGAGCGGGACCCCGGGTTCCTTAGAGGCCGCGGAGGCCCAGGGCATTCCCTGTGCCGAGGAAGAGCGGAGGTGGAAGGAGAAAGAAATGTCAAGAAGAGAACTGCTTAAAGGGAAACTAAACCGAGCCAGAGTTTCCTTGCTGTGACAGCACATTTGGTGCAGTGGGCCAAAATTTTAATCTCCGGACTGCAGCCTGCGACCCCTAGACGGTGAGCCTTTGCTAAAATGTTTGCTTGAAGACCCGAAATTTGACTTGAAACGATTGTTTTTTGGGAGGACTTGTGAAGGACTTGCATTTATCCATACACTATAATCTACACCTTTCCAAGATTTTCTATTCTTAACACTTGCTGAAAATTATTTGAGTATGCAAACCTTGATTTAATTAAGAAAGCAAAGTATTGGCTTCCACAGTTTAAGTGACCATTCATTTGGGATTCTCAGAGGTTTGTATTTGTGAAAAAGAAAAAGGAACAGTTCTCTAGTGCCTTACCTCTCTTTGTACCAGAACATCTCTTATGTTTATGATTGGTGAAAATGCTGTTGCCTCTAGTTAGTGATTCTACCCAAACGTTGACTGTGATCTTAGATCACCTTATCATACTGCCCTTCTGTTTTCAACCAGTCTGATAACACCTCTCTCTAAGGCTCTGTGTGTGTCTTCTCTAGTTTTGTGTCTTGTTTTTTGTGTTGACTGGAGGACAGTAAGTCTTTGTCCTTCGACACAGACTTTTGGGAGACTCAGATTATATGCTTTTAAAAACTGATAGTGCTAGTGCTTTAAATTTTTCAAAATATTTACGTGATGAAAGTTTTGATTTTGTTGCATATTTTCTTTCCCCATGAGCAGAATTCTCAGTTTCTAAAATGTGTCTCAGCCCAGGAAAGAATTGTGGAGATCCTGTGAGATGCTGAGGTTTCCAGAGGCACTTATTCAGATGAGGGATAAATCTGTGCACTTTAGGGGTGAATGTTTAGGAGGAGTGGAATCTCTAAAATGTTGTTCAAGGAGCTCTCCTTAATGCCTTAAATTCTGCTATTCTGTTCAGAGTTGGACCTTCTCTCTTTTTTTTTTTTTTTTGACATGGAAATATGTTTTTTGTTTTTTTACCACAGTGAAAAACCTTACATTTATAAGGTTTCTCCCCAGTATGAATTCTCAGATGTTGAACAAGAGATGAATTTACAGTGAATGCTTTTCCACAAACTTTACATTTATAGGGTTTTTCTCCAGTACGAGTTCTCTGATGTTCAGTAAGAGATGAACTCTGGATAAATGCTTTTCCACAGTCATCACACATGTAAGGTTTCTCACCAGTATGAATTCGTGTACGGATAAATGCTGTTATTCCTTTGTACATTGCTTTATCAGGTGCTGTTTTTACATTCCTCAGTGGCTTCTCTCCATGTGCTTAGCTCTGCCATTTCTTCTTGTCACACATTTTCTTTTTTTCTTTTTAAATTTATTTTATTTATTTATTCTTGGCTGCGTTGGGTCTTCGTTGCTGCCTGTGGGCTTGCGGGTTTTCTCTAGTTGCGGCGAGCGGGGGCCACTCTTCGTTGCGGTGCGTGGGCTTCTCATTGCAGCGGCTTCTCTTGTTGCAGAGCACGGGCTCTAGGGGCGTGGGAGTCAGTAGTTGTGGCATGCGGGCTCAGTGGTTATGGCTCGTGGGCTCCAGAACGCAGGCTCAGCAATTGTGGTGCATGGGCCTAGCTGTTCCGTGGCATGTGGGATCTTCCCGGACCAGGGCCTGAACCTGTGTCCCCTGCATTGGCACGCAGATTCTTAACCACTGCGCCACCAGGGAAACCCCTTTTTTTCTTTTTTTTAATATGTATTTATTTGGCTGTGCCGGGTCTTAGTTGCGGCAGATGGGATCTTCATTGCAGCATGCGGGCTTTTTTTTTTTTTTTGGTTGTGGCATGCGGGCTCTTAGTTGAGGCATGCGGTATCTAGTTCCCCAACAAGAGATTGAACCCAGGCGCCCTGCATTGGGAGTGTGGAGTCTTAACTGCTGGACCACCAGGGAAATCCCTGTCGCACATTTTCTAATACTGCTATGCATCCCCTTTATTATTTGTCTTTTGACTAGGTACCTGTCCATTCTCTCATTTAAGCTCTGTTTAGTCTCCAGATTACTGTGGTAGTATAGTGGACAAAGCCTAAGTTCTATTTCTGACCATCTCATTAATAACTTCTGTATCTTTAGGTTATAATCACATAACCTCTCTAGTTCTAAACTTGTTTATCTTTAAATGAGAAGGTTAAACTTTTACATCTTTAAAACATTTTTTTCAGCTTTCAGACTCTTTGTCACATTGCCTATTGGGCCAACTTCTTTCCTAGCACTTCTGCCTCTTCTTAACTCTACTCCATTGACTTATTATTTTCCCAGATTACGAGACTGTAAATATGCATTCTAATTTTTAGTAAGGTTATTTATTTCCTCCTGAGTTCAGTTCCTGTAATCCCAACACAGAAAATATGTTTTTATAAATGTTTTATTCCCCTCAGATTTGAAGAGCAGAGCAGATACCAAAGAGAAGACCATTAGAATATACTTTTGAGTGAGCAGTTCCATCACTGTCATCATGGAAAGGCTCAGAGGGGATGTGTTCAAAGAGTATTTATTTGAAGAAACCTGTGAATATGAGGCCAAGGTAGAAAAGCAAAAGGAGCGCTCTATAGACAAAATTTCAAAAAAATCTGTTGCCCAAACCACTGGTTTTCAGCAAATAATAGTTGGCCATGAAGAAATATCTTGTGAGGAAAATGGGCATACTTTTAATGAGTTTGAGAGAGGTTTTGATCTAAGATCTAAACTTATCCCACGGAATGTTACTCATTCAGAAAAGAAACTACATATATTTGATCCATTTGGGGAAAGTGTCAAATGGAACTTATCTCCAATTAAAAGTCAAAGAGCTTCTAAAAAGAAAACTTATAATTGTAGTGACTGTGGAAAAAATTTCAGTGACCGTTCAAACTTGTTTCGTCATGAGAGAATTCATACTGGTGAGAAACCTTATAAGTGTCATGACTGTGGAAAAGCATTTATCCAAAGTTCATCTCTTACTGAACATCAGAGAACTCATACTGGAGAAAAACCCTATAAATGTAAAGTTTGTGGAAAAGCATTCACTGTAAATTCATCACTTGTTCAACATCTGAGAATTCATACTGGGGAGAAACCTTATAAATGTAATGAATGTGGGAAAGCCTTCAGTGACTACTCATCCTTTATTCAACATCAAAGAATTCACAGTGGAGAGAAACCCTATGAATGTATTAACTGTTGGAAGTCCTTCAATGATATCTCAACTCTTACACAACATCAGAGAATTCACACTGGAGTGAAACCCTATAAGTGTAATGATTGTGGGAAGGCATTTAGACGAAGTACACACCTTACCCAACACCAGAGGACTCATACTGGGGAAAAGCCTTATAACTGTAATGAATGTGGAAAAGCATTCAGTGCCCACTCAACCTTTACACAACACCAAAGGATTCACACTGGAGAAAAACCCTATACATGCAGTGAATGTGGGAAGGGCTTCCCTGAAAACTCGTCCCTTACTAAACATCATCGAATTCATACTGGAGAGAAACCTTATGAATGTTGTGAATGTGATAAAGCTTTTAGCCAGAGCACTCATCTTATTCATACTGGAGAATTCATACTGGAGAGAAACACTTTAAATGTGATAAATGTGGAAAAGCATTTGGTAACAGTTCAATCCTGATCAGACATCAGCAGCTTCACACTTTAGAGTCATCCTAATGATACTGCAGTTTTGTGGACTACTTCATCCTTTCATGAGCCACTCTTACTTTTTGGTCATATGTCTCTTACCCATGCCACCCACTCTTGCTTACAATTAGAATTTCTAGGAATGTTGTATTCCTGGGATAAAGTAAAACATTACGTAATATTTTAAATTTAAGTTTCCCATACTGACGCTGTTTTGTTAGGTGCATAGAGATTTAGATTGTTATGTGTTCTTGGAGAATTGGCCCTTTTTTCATACTTTAATGCCCCTTCTTATCCCGTAGTATCCTCCCTGTTCTGAAGTCTGCTCTGTCTGAAATTAATAAAAGTTACGTCAGCTTACTTTTGATTAGTGTTAGCATGACATATCTTTCTCCATCTCTTTACTTTTAACATAATGTTTGTTACTGTTTTCTATTCTTTGTGTTTTTGTTTCCTTTCTTCCATCTTTTTCTGCCTTCTCCCTCCACAACTTTCATCAAAAGTAGACTATGACATCCCAAAGCACGAGGACTATCGGATGCTGCATGCGGTGGGGCGTGGGGGTCAGAAGGCACCTGAAGGTAAGAGTACCTCCAAACCTCACATTTAAAGTGTAGACTCTTTTCACAGTGGCCGTCCTGTGGCAGGATATTTTGCTATTAATTATAAACAAATACATAATTGAGCATTTTATGATTCCATTGTATCTCTTGTAGTACATTAATTATATGTCTTTTAAAAACATTTTATTGGTTGCCTTAGAGCTTGCAATATGTATTTTAAACTAAGTGCACCTTTAAATAAAACGACACTGCCTCACATGTAATGCAGGTACCTTATATCAGAAGTATTCCCATCCTTTGTGGCATTGCTGTCATTTGCTTCACTTGTGCATATGCTATCACCCAATCACCCAATATGTTGTCATTATTATTGCTTTAAATAGACAATTATCTTTGAGATTTAAGAATAAGAAAATATGTTTATTTTACCTTCCTAAAATTTCCTCACTGACGCTCTTCATGTCTTTTTTTTTTTTTTTTTTGGTACACGGGCCTCTCACTGCTGTGGCCTCTCCCATTGCGGAGCACAGGCTCCGGACGTGCAGGCTCAGCGGCCATGGCTCACAGGCCCAGCCGCTCCGCAGCATGTGGGATCTTCCCGGACCAGGGCACAAACCCGTGTCCCCTGCATCAGCAGGCGGACTCTCAACCACTGCGCCACCAGCGAAGCCCTTCATGTCTTAATATAGATCTAAGTTTCTGAATAAATAAATTTTCTTCTGCCTGAAGAACTTCTTTTAACATTTTTAAGGACAGGTCTGCTAGCAATTAATTCCATTGGTTTTTGTTTGTCTGAGAAAGTATTTCTCCATTACCTTTGAAGGATAGTTTCACCGTATGTAGAATTCTAAGCTGGTGAGGGTTTTTCTTTCAGCACTTTGAATGTTTCATTCCACTTCTTGCTTGCTTGCAGGTTTTCTGATGTGAGGTCCATTGTGATTCTTATCCTTGTTCCTCTATAGGTGTGTTGTATTTCTCTGGCTTCTTTCAAGATTTTCTCTTTGTCTTTTTTTTTTTTTTTTAAAGGTTGAATATATGCCTAGGAGTAGTTTGTTTGTGTTTTATCCTGCTTGGTATTCTCTGAGTTTCTTGTATATAAGAGTTGGTATTTGTCATTCATTTTGGAAAGTTCTCAGTCATTATTACTTCAAATATTTGTTCTGCTCAGTTTTCCCTTTCTTCTCCTGGTATTCCAAGTACATATGTATTTCTTTTTTTTACATATAAAAATCTCCTTTTTAGGGCTTCCCTGGTGGCGCAGTGGTTGAGAGTCCGCCTGCCGATGCAGGGGACATGGGTTCGTGCCCCGGTCCGGGAAGATCCCACGTGCCACAGAGCAGCTGGGCCCGTGAGCCATGGCCGCTGAGCCTGCGTGTCCGGAGCCTGTGCTCTGCAACGGGAGAGGCCACAGCAGTGAGAGGCCCGCGTACCGCAAAAAAAAAAAAAAAAACTCCTTTTTATTCTTTTTCAATTAAATATTCCTATAAATGCTAAGCAGTACATACACACAGAGCCAAGTTCTAAAGAACCAAAGAGTCATCCCTAGGTGCCAGAAAATAAGAAAAAACTCAAAGTCACAGCTGTAAGGGGGAAAGGTGGTACCAATAACCACAATACTATGTTGTCCCATGGGGTGCCATATCAGCTCTAGACCAGAGTGATGGAGACTGAACTTTTAACGACACAAGGATTAGGTATGTTCTAGTGCTGCACAGGTACAAAGCTAGAAATTTCCCCATAAAAACGATTTGTTCTTTGAATCTGTCATCCCTCTTATGGCCTCCATTGTTTGTGATGAGAAGTCGGATGTTAGTCTTATTGGGGTTTCTTTGTATCTGACAGGTCATACTTCTCTTGCTGTTTTCAAGATTTTTGTCTTTGTGTTTCAGTACATATGTATTTCGTCTTTAATTTTGGCCCACAGTTCTTGGATGTTCTGGGTTTTTTCCTTCTTTATTTCTTTTTGCATTTCAGCCTGGAGATTTCTATTGACCTATTGACATTGATTCTTTCCTTGGCCAAGTTGAGTGTACTGATGAGCTCATTGAAAGATTTCTTCATTTCTGTCACTGTATTTTTTTCCTAGCATTTCTTTTTGATATTTTCCAGAGGCTCCATCTCTGCTAACATTACCCGTCTGTTCTTGCACATTGTCTCATTTTTCCACTAGTGCTCTTAATGTATTAATCATACTTACTTTAAATTCTCTGTCTGAAAATGCCAGTATCTGTACCCTATCTTAGTCTGGTTCTGATGCTGGCTTGGTCTCTCCACAGTGTGCTCTTGCCTTTTGGCATGTCTTGTAATTTTTTTGTTGAAAGCTGGACACGTTGTGTTGGGTAATAGGAACTGAGGTAAATGGGTCTTCAGTGTGAGGTTTCATTTACTCTACTAGGAGTTGGGCTGTGTTTAATGTTTGCTGTAGCCGTAAGAGTTGGAGGCTTCAGTGTCCTCTGGTGTCCTTATTTTTGCCTCTTGTTGTCTTTAGGTTTCTCTAGAAACTTTTCTTACATAGAGTCTGAGTCCTGGCACTCTCCCCGTTGTAATCCATTGTTCGTATACTGGAGCCTGTTGATGTGGTGGTAAGCTATTGGGTAGGGAAAGCATTCTGTAATCTAATAATTAAATCTCAGTTGTTTATAGTGAGTCTGAGTCCCTGGGCTTTGAATTTCAGAAGAATTTCTTAGCATTTTTCCCCCCTACCTTCCAAAACTAGGGCTTATAACAACAACATCTGGTTTCTTCTTCCTCACCCCTTGTCCACCTTCTAAACCGTCACTGTGTGGCAGGGCAGTGGTGGGGGCTCAGAGAGGAGGGAGAAGGTCTCAGAGTCCTGAGCTACCTCAGACTGGGGTGTGTGTGTGTGTGTGTGTGTGTACATGAGGGGGAGTAGCAGCACCCAGGAAAGCAGCCTGGCCACTCCCTCCCCCTTCAGGCTACAGATGGAAGACTGAGGCCCAGGGAGTGTTCAGCTTCATCTACCCCTGCCCACATCCCTTAAATTCCCCAAACCTCAACTGTGTGGGGGGAAGGGGCCAGAGATATTAGCAGATACAAATGCAAATCATTAATGTGTCTACAATATATTTCATTTCTTGGTAATTCTATCCTGCCTTTTCCCTTCTGTATTATAAATTTGGGAGCTTTTACTTTAGGTAGACTGAAGCATTCCAGCACTTGGCCTTGCTGCTGAAAGAAATCTCAGCAAGAGGAGAAAAGATTCTGTCTTCTCCCTGTAGCTGCAGGGAGTCCGATTCTCTTCAGTCTGATAATAATGTCTTGTTTAGGTCATGTCTTGCAAAGGAATCCTGTGAGATGTCTGGACTTTAAGGTGATGGATACATCCCATGAACAAAACCCTCACCTTCCCGACCCACTGTCGTTCTGCTGGTCGTCTTACTTGCCAGCTCAAAACCCTGGTAATACAATTTAAATTAACATATGAGGTTTTGGGGCTTCCCTGGTGGCGCAGTGGTTAAGAATCTGCCTGCCAATGCAGGGGACATGGGTTCGAGCCCTGGTCTGGGAAGATCCACATGCCACAGAGCAACTAAGCCCATGCGCCTCAACTACTGAGCCTGCGCTCTAGAGCCTGCGACACACAACTACTGAAGCCCTCATGCCTAGAGCCTGTGCTCCGCAACAAGAGAATCCACCGCAATGAGAAGCCTGTATGTCGCAATGAAGAGTAGCCCCTACTCACCACAACTAGAGAAAGCCCGCATGCAGCAACGAAGACCCAATGCAGCCAATAAATAAATAAATAAATAAATAAATAAAAATTTTTTTTAAAATCTGAGTTTCAAAAGATAAATACTTTTCTTGTCTCCCACATGCAGAGAGGTAAAACTAAACCCGGCTGTGCTAGCTTTTAAAATTTAAGCAGAGTTTGGAGAGCTGCCAAATTGTAATGTGATTGCTGGGTTGCAGCAGAGATTTGCCGCCTTGCTCAGGTCACCCAGGGAAAGGCGCACGGGAACAAGAGGAGGTTCCAGGGCTTACTAAGCATGATCGTTACACTTCACGCCCTTCCAGAGTTACTCAACAGGACTGTGAATGCTGCCTTGCTGGGTGTGCCTGGGGAGCAAGGGGGGACAAAAATGCTGACAAGGATCTCCTCCTCCCTTTGGGGGCCTTCTGTCAGTCTTCAGCTCTGTTGACAAATCCCTGCGACTGCACTTTAGAAGCAGATGGCACAGGACCTTTTGGATTCACTTGTGCCTTTACTGCCCAATTAGCCTACAAACAGTTGGGGAGGAGCTACCAGAATGGAACTCTTAAAAAATCAAATGGGCAAAGTTTGTGCAGAGATCAGACTGAAGTGACAACACTGCTCACAGCTAAGGACCTGTGACCTCAGACCCACAACAGATGGAGAGTTGGCTCTTCCCCAGGGAATGGCAGCCCTAGGAGACCTCAGGTACCCTGTCCCGCTTCCCCTTGAACAGTTACTGCCCAGACATCTACCTTCTGCCTGGAACAGGCATGATACCTTCCTGTTGGGAGTCAAGTCCATCCGGAGTTGGCTGCTCTGAACACTAATATGGGCAGGGGGCAAACCCTCGTGCCTGCTGCCCCTGGAGCAGGGTGGCACTCCAGAGCTTGCACATGACCACTGTTGACCTAAAACAAATAGACTTTCAGTTATTTGTCCAGCAAAAATGGGTTTATTCACAATCAGCAAAGAATTACAACCACTTCAAGGGTCTGCAACCATGGTGAGCCACGTGAAGGTCCCAAGCAAAATGGAGAGGGGAAATCTTATAGAGGGGGAAAGGGAAGTTGAGAGGACCATAGTAAACAAAGAGTCATGGCTTTTCTTTGGCTGAGTTGTGATGGTCTCTCATTGGCTAAGCTCTTGCTAGAAAAGAAGAGGAAGTCTTTTTTCCTCCTGTTAGGCTCTGCTGTTGACATGGAGCATGAGAAGACATTATAATTTAATCCACAGGCCCACTTCAACTTGTACCAGCTGTCCCAACTGTTTGAAAACATCTTTTTCCATTGTGATCCAGTTTTCT